CCTCCTCTCCTCCTCCTTCTCCTCCTTCTCCTTTTCCTCCTCCTCCTCCTCATCCTTCCCCTTCCCCTTCCTCTTCTCATTCCCTATCCCCTCCTCCTTCTTTTTCTTTCCTCTAAATATTCCAAGTATAGTGGGTAGTTGTCTTTATCCAGTGGATGGGCTGGCCATTTTATTAAGTCTTTTATTTGTGTTTTGCTTGCTCTATTAGTCTCTTATGTCAAATTAATTTTAGTTTTAGGGTGTTTGTCTCTCCTTTTTTCTTCCAATTACCTGTGTTTTAGTTGAATTTTTGCTTAGGTATTTCTAAAGGAGGCTCCTCCTCTGTTCAGCCATGTTGCCTCAAGGAGCTCACTTAGCATTAAAAAAAGCATAAGTCTCTGAGGAAGCATTCTCTCAGTTTCTGTCTAATAGCTTTTTTAGCTTTCATTTTTGAGTTTTTGCTTGGTAGTTTTCTATTTGTTCATGAATGTGAATATATTATTTGAGTACTTCTGCATTCCATGGAGCACACTGAGAAGTCTTCCTATATTCTTGTTTCCTCTACATCCCGTGTCATTTTTCTCTACCTGATTGCCAGATTTTCTCTTTGATTTTTCTCTCATCTAGTTGATGATAAAGTGTCTTTCTCTTTGTGATCATCTGCTTGAAGTTTGTTAAGTTTTTTGGATCTGTAAACTGGTGTTTTCCACCAAATTAGGAAGTTTTCAGGCATCATTTTTTGAAAACTTTTCACACTTTCCCCCATTCTCCTGAAATTCAGACTACATGTATTGAATAATTTAATGTTTTCCCACAGGATTCTAGGCTGTTTATTTTTCTTCATTTTTAATCCTGTAATATCTCTGAAATCTACCTTCCTAGGCTCTTTTGCCATCTCTAATAAACCCATAATTTGTTTTTATAGTTTTAACCTATAGAAAAATAGTTATAATACTATGCATAACTTCTAGTCTCTGTTGAAATACTTATCTATATGTTTATCGATATTGTTTCCTTCACTTTGTTTCCCCACTGGAAGTGAACCCAAGGTTCTATGCATATTAGGCAGATACTCTTCCACTAAGTTCCATCTCTAATCCTTTTTATATTTTATTTTGAAAAAGGGGCTAAGTTGCCCAGGCTGGCCTTGAACTTGGGATCCTCCTACCTCTGCCTCATGAGTAGCAGGGATTTACAAGTGTGTGTCACCATGTCCAGTTCTAATATTTTGAATGTATTTTAAATTTTTAAATAGCTATTCAGAAATTCTTACTGCCAATCTAACACTTGAGTCTACCTAGAATCAGCCTCTTTCTTCCTTTCCTGATTTCTTCCCTCTCCGCTTCTTCTCCTTCTTTGTTCCATTGAATCCAAGGCCTCACACATGCTAAGCATGCCCTCTACCATGGGGCATCAGGGTCAGATTCTTTCCACTGCCTTTTCCCTGAATAGTAGTTTCTTATTTCTTTACTTATCAATAGATTTTCGTTCCTGTTGTTATTGAAAACTTGGTGTTACACACAACGCACTGCAGCACCTGTGTTCTCTGAGCTTGTTGGCACAGACTCAGAGGGTCAATTTTGTCTTTCCCATGCTGTGTGGAAACTGATAGCCTTGTAGCCTCCTGCTGTTGCATTTTTAGCCTGGCCTTGCTTTCTCCTGTGGGCTTGCATTGTTCAGCAGTAACCAGAGATGAAGCTGTCCTTTCTATGAGGTCTTGGCTTATAATGACTTATGAGTCATTGGGAAAAACATATAGGAAAAAATATGTTTATCTATGAGTATATCTCTGCTTTTCTTCATTTCATAGCATTTTATCACATCTTCACCACTTAAGCTGATAGGCTTTTTAGCAGTGCAGTAAAGAGATAGGAAAGATAAAAGAAGCCTTTATTAGCTCCAAAGACACGGAGAAGATTGAGGGCAGATGGGCAGATCCTCTGGCCTGAGACAAAGAAAGCTGAGGCTTCTATGGACTTCTGCTCAGGATGGAGCTTGAGGAGGGTGTTTAGAAATAGCGGAGGAGCTCATTGGGGTCTTCCCTGAGGCGGTGGGAGAGATCAATGGAAATTGCACCCTGGGCTGGGTTGGAGAAGAAGTGGGGAAGTGGTCTCTGGGAAGATAAGCCTCTTCAACCATATTAGATGACCACCATAATAATTCATCAATTCATACTAGGGCCAGAACCTATGAAAACCACCAGTGGTACATGCACAACTCCAGCAGGCAGTTGGTACCCCTGTGGCGCAGAACAAATCTAGTCATTCTAATCAGTGTTTTTGCTAATGAAATTAATAAAAAGCTGCCTGGAAGGACAGTCATGTATGTACCACAGGTGGTGCCCTTTCATGAACATGGTGAATGAAAAGACCTAGAAGGTCATTGTAATTTGGTTCTTGACCTCTCCAAATCTAAACTAAGGACATTTTCCTACTTGAGGGGTTCATTTTCAAATTAGACTTGAGTTGTTTATGCCTTAGATGGCTGAGGAAGTGAATGGTCCATCCAGAGAGTATGAAAGTTAATCTTTTTAACAGTTATCTCTGTTAATCAAGGCTGGCTAGGAGCACCACCGCATCTCCTGATGTCTTTCAGTCCTTGTCTTTTTAAGGAACGAGGTCTGCATCATAACTTGAACCCCAAGACCCAAAGCTAAGTATGTGGAAGCGATTCATTTATTTATCCTGTTAATTCCAAACTGAGTAGATCCTAAAATAAGGGAAAGGGGTACTTCCTTTTTTTTTGAAATGTGTTTGTGATAAAATATAGAACTTCCTTGAGAGGTCCTTAGATCTAAATGTTAGTGTTAAGTCTCTGTAGAGACTAACTAAACATTTATATTTATAAATAAGATATTGGGGTTCTGTTATACCCCAATATCATGCTTTTTGTTTCTTTCCAAACTTGGAGTAATTTGTAATCTTTTGATATGTTGGTAATTTAAACTCTAAATGCAAGTTGCCTGTATGTGTGTGTTTTATTTCTAAGCCTGATAGGCTCATTACTCTGGGATACTCTTGCTTCTTGCCTGTTCCTAATCTCATGCTTTTCTCATTACCAAGCAAAGGAAGACTTTCAGCTGTCTACAAACATGATTTCTATCATCTTCGCCTTTTTCTTCTTTGCAAGTTTAATAAGATTTTCTACTTTAAGATGAAGAGTTTCCCCTTTTAAATATTAATATAAATATGTTTTTATTTCTAGAAATGTCACTTGCCAGGTATATAATACTTATCTCCAAAATCATTGAGATATATACATTAAATGTGTGCAACTTTTTGTGTCAGTCATACTTTAATAAAGTGTTATTTTAAGTAATGTGACTATCCCCCTCTAAGAAAGATTTCAAATTGGCTTTTTACTTTTGAGTATAAAAAGGAGGAAGGAGGAAGGACTATAAGATTTTCCAGAGGTGACCTATGGGTGTTGAATGCCACTTTACATGAGAAATCTCTAAGACCCTCAAGTGTTCAGACAATTGGTATCTGAAAGGCACCTTGCCTGTATCTTGTGCAGCACATTTTGGTGTCAAATCTTCCATGGCTTCACCTCTTCTCTCTTGACGGCTTCTTTGCAGCAGCACCACTGAGCTCTTTGCCACCTGTGCCAAGAAAGACATCAGGGTGTGGCACACCATGTCCAACAGGGAGCTGCTGCGGATCACTGTGCCCAACATGACCTGCCATGCCATCGATTTCATGAGGGATGGCAAGAGCATCATTTCAGGTAACGGCCAGTTGCCAAGGTCTGGCCCCATGTGAGCATGGTGACAAACACCTGTAATTCCAGCACTGGGGAAGCTGAGACAGGAGGCTCACCTTGAGTTTAAGGCCAGTCAGGACTGTATAGTACATTTGAGGCCAGCCTGGAATACATATCTCAATACTCCCCTCACACTAAAAAAAAAAAAAAAAAAAAAAGGCTTTGGCCCCAGGCCCTAGCTGTGGTTCTGGTCCTGGCCACTGTCAACCCCCACCAGTTCCCCCACTGATAACCCAGAGCAGCTTTCTGCTGCTCTTCTCTCTGTGTCTCCCTTATAGACTCTTCTCAGATATCCCTTTCAGTTGGGGGATTTTCTGAACTTGGAAAAAGTAAATATGCAACTTCCCTTCTCTCAAATTACTGCAGATAGCATGGATCTTTCTCTCAGAGAGAAATTTAGTAACTCGATTATTCAGTGAGTACTGGATTCCT